GTACATAGCTTGGTACCCAGTGACCTGTCAGTAAATGGTAGATTATTTCTCATTTCTCTTGATTTGATTTACATTCAACTATCTCCTCCTACTCCTCTAGGAATAGGGGCCTTCGTACTCTTCCAGGCTCACCAGCTACCAAATCTCTCTGGATTCCCCACAAAGTGCCCATGAACTGTGCTCTCTACAGACACAGCCCTTCACCCAGCATTGCATGTCCTCTGAAACACACCTAATGATCAACTGCAGCACAAAACACAAGACAGAAGCACGCTTCAGAAGACACAGACGTCATAGTCATACAGAACATGTCACCTCCAAATGCAGCCTCACCTGCTTTTTTCCCACGTTCTTCCAAGCTTCAAGTCCTTAACATCGATTATTTTTAGAGGCACCAGGCCGTTTTCAGAGTCCTGGCTGCATTCGTATGCCTCATTGACTTTTCCTTATTGGTTTATTTATTCATGTTATTTATTTATTCATGTATATATTTATTTCCCACCTTGCTCCAAAATGGATGTCAGGTGGCTTACAAGAATACACAAAATGTAACATGATAGCATAAATTCAAAGTAAAAGGAAAAAAAAAAAGGTAGGAACATAAAATGCAGCCTGAAGGAAAGCTAATACAAAGGTGTATAGAAACCACAGAGTCCCATTACAATCGCTATGTGTGGGCCACACATTTGGCTCCAAGCTTTCTAATAGCCAACAAAAGAGAAACCTGATCAGTCCCACACTTCGCAGGGTCTATAAAATAAAATAAAATCACTTGTTCTGGGTGTCCTTTTCCTGGTCTAAATCCTGAATACTTTCCTATAGTGAAGAATCATAAAATGGTGGCAAATCGTCCCTCCTAATTTGCTCTAAGACCAAGATCCAGCTCCTAGAAGTCTCCAACAAAGATAGATCCTCAATCTTAAAATTACATCGACTACTTCTTATTTTTCTTCTACCTGTCTCGTGAAGTTCCACATGGTAAATGAAATGTAACTATTAAACAGACTTCTTTAAAAAAGAAAATAAACGAACACTCTCTGCTGTTAGCAAAGCAAATATTTTCATTTAAGTAATAAAATAAGACATTGTGACATTATTTCTAACAACAAAAACTGGGAAAGGACTCCAAATATCCAACAAAAAGAAATGGTTAAAAAAGCCATAATGCAACTATATGATGAAATATTATACACCATCAAAAATGATATTTATGAATCTTTTTAAAATGTAGGAAAATATTCATGATAAAAATGTTAAGTGGAAAGCAAGATACAAAACTAAAAAGCTAATATATTATATTAGCTATGTAAAAAAAGCATATGCTTATATATAGCCATAGAAAAAGTCTGCAAAGAAATCCACCAAAATGTTAACATTGTTTATTTCTGAGATTAATGATTATGGGTGATATTAATTTTTTTACATTGATAAAACTTCTATATGATGAGGGGGGAAAAAAGGACTAAGAGTAAATATACCAGTCCAGTTATCTTTGGGTTGTGGAATTTTTAATTTTGTAAAAAACTTCCTGTAATTGACATATAAATTCTAGCTAGGGAGAAAGTTACTTTATAAAACAAATGAAAATTTTAAACTCCTCTTCGCTTTATAGTTTTTTGGTTGATTGTAAGGTCTGGAATTATAGAAATGTAATAATACCTCACATTTACTTAACACTTTTAAATTTTACTTTTAGTAGCATTTTGATGTTTAGAATTATACTTGATTATCAAAAATATCCTGTGAGGTAGGCCAGGTATTACTATTCTCATTTAACAGTTGAGGAAACTAAGGCTCAGAAAAGCTAAGTGACTGACTCAGTCACAGTGATCAGTGGCAGAGCTAGGACTTAAACCCCGGTCTCTAGAACTCAAGTCCAGTGCTTTTTCCATTAGTTCAAGGCTGACTGTGGTGTCACCAAAGCAGTCACCATGAGGCAGAAACACAGAAACAGTAATCCCTCTTCACCTGTGAGGGTTAGGTTCCTGAACACGCCCCAAAGTAGGAGAATTCAGATGAAGAAATTATCATTTTTTGAGGAAAAAACAAAACTACCAGGCAAGGAAAGTGGGGTAGCAGAAGAATTTTGAAAGCCTTCATAAATCTTTTTTTTATGCTCAGTAAGACAGAACAATAACAACAGTATATTACATAAAAAGAATGAGTTTACATAATTTAAATTAGTAAGAATGATAGGCTCTACACAGTGTCCAGTTAGATCCTGAGATGATTTCCAGAACTGATGAGGATGTATTACACATTATGTTAGTGGAAAATGGGAGTGACAAAGAAGCAACGACCGAGTTGGACTGTTAACTCAAATCATGGATCTCCATGTTCCCAGAGTCATCTAAGTCCAATCCTGAAATTGTAACAACTTGCTTGTGGCTTTAGCTCTATCAAGCAAATGAATTTAAGTGGCCCACTACTTAATGACTTTGGCTCTTCTGAAGATGCTTTCTGTCTTCTAAAGTCTTTTTTGCAGACACTTTAGCATTTGTTTATACAGTTAACTAAATCATTCAAGCTTTGTCTGAAGGCAGCTGATGAGTTGTCCAGCAATGGTATTAAATGGCACGACTTAAATTCTGAAGACAGTTTCTGTACAATGTGTTTTTTTTCTTCGAAGGCATCATAATATCTCTTTATAGACATCTACTAAATCATTCAAGGTTTGAACAGATAAGATGTGACATGCAAAGGTTTCAATTTCATTACTTTCTTAGGGAAGCTTTGATCTTGTTCTAGAACTTTGTTCCTGTTGCTTCTAATTGTACTTGTCTCCAGTCCCATAGCCTACTAATTATCTTCATCATCACTTATGATAATCACTTCTGGGGTACTGGAAAATTCCCGAGGATCATCCTCTATCAGCATCACATCATTTGAATCGGTGTCAACAGGTTCAGATACAACTTCAGCCAATGATTGCTCCTGCACCAAATGTTCATCCTTATCAGTAGGTTCCTCATGATCCAAAGATTCTTTGTCTTTGAGAGGGACTGCTGAAAGATACTGTGCCATGTCTAGCCAAATCTTCTCCCAGGCTTCATTAATGATGGGCTTTGTTAAACTATCTAACGCCTCTTTTATTAAGAACACAGCATTAGTGATGGTATAGGAATCCCATGCACTAGGATCTTCAGACAGAGGAACCTTTGTAAGATTTTGTACAACAAAGTTATATATTAGTTTAGCATAAGTCTTCTTGAATGGCCGGATCAAACACTGATCTAAGGGCTGAAGGATCTGAGACATGCAGCTGGTTATAAAGATAACCTTAACATTAGGATGCACATTGGTAAATGCATCTGAGGCACCAAACGGACTGTGAAGAATCAGCAGGACGTTGAATTCAAGATTTTTTTCTTTTAAGTAGTCTTGAACTTCCACAAGAAAGCACTGCTCAAACCATTCCTTAAGGAGAGGAGGAGTCATCCAGGTTTTTCTGTTTGCATGCCAGTATACTGGAAACTTGGCTCGGTTTTTACCCCTGAGAAGATTTGGGCAAAGGTTTCTGTATAGCAGTAACGGTTTCACTATGAGATCACCTGAAGTACTGGCACAAAACAGAAGCGTCAGCCTCTCTGTTTTTGCTGACCTCATGTCAGCATCCGTTGGCTCTTGCTCTTCAAAAGGGCAAGTGGGATTATTCAAGGGCTTCCAAAGCATGGCGGTCTCAACAGCACCAAAGATTTGTTCACGTGCATAAACTCCTTCATTAATCACTTTCTGCAGTTCCGGAGGATACGACACAGGAGCTGAAGAATCTACTGGTTCTTTCTTTGGCATCATTGCCGCATAAGACTTGGTCTCCAGGTCATAGCGATACTTATATTTCTCAAACCACCCCTTGCTTCCAGAAAAACTTTTTTCTAGATCCTCTTTAGGGCCTGAAACTGGGTCATCAAAAAGTCCTCTTGCTTGGTCACAGATCCCTTGCATGGAAAGTGTTTCATTATTCTTTTGCTTATCTTCATTCCAGAGGTTTAGCATCATTTCCATCTTCTCCATCTTTCGGTTACGAGGGGTAAAGCATCTTTTAAGTGACGTCGATGTACAAGAGGCAATAGTGGCCCTAATAGCATTTTCAGTTTTCTTTATTGTACGAATTGTGGATTCATTAACACCATATAAGCGCCCCACGAACCTTTTTGTTTTACCTTGAAGAAGCAGATCAAGAATGTCCCTTTTGTCTTCTAAAGACATCACTCTTCTTGCCCTTTTGGCAACCTGCTGTGGTGCTGGTGTCCTTGTACTTGCTTCACTCTCATCTGCCTCAATAGTCACATCTATGGAAGCCATGTTTCAGCTTTATGCTAACCAATGCAACTTAACAATTACTTACTAGAGATTTTCTATCCCTGAGCATCACTCAGTGTTAGCATATGACATTCAAACACCAAATGGTACTATGAACAACACGGAGATAAATGATAATATATTACTCAGTGCAAACGGGGCTGATTGTATAAGAGACAACTGGCAGAAGAATAAGAATAACAGAGGAAACAAATGACTCAAAAGTTTGGGATATAGTCAGAGAAACAATATTGTGGCAACTCGGACTGACTCCCATATATGCAATTCAAAATTTTCAAAGTTGCTGAAAAGGTTTACAGAAATAAATCCACCTATACTCAAATTTCCAATAAGAACAACTTGCAGTTAGGAATGGATTACTGTAAATTCTACTCTAAGTTATCAGAAAGAAAGTCACTGTTTATATATTCAAGTTAGTATTGTTGCTATGATTTCCCTATGCTGAACATTATAAATCCAGTTCTATATAAAAGGCAAACACAGCTTAATTGTATTTTCCGTAAGCCCACAGTAAGTTAATCAAACATCCTCTGACAGAATGCAACCTCTGAAGATGTAGATGTAAAGGTCAGGCAGGCCCTGAATAGCCAACGCTCAAGAAATGACTACCCAAGAAAGAAAGTGATAATGAAAGAATAAACTAGCCCCTTTTCAATGCCCGGTCACTGATACTTTACTTTTATCCCCTCCTCCTGGGAAGATAGAGCGAAGCCTTGCTTTCTTATTCTTCTCTTCAGGGGCCATGGGAAGTGGTTTGGAGCTGTGGTTGAGTGCTGAAGAATCCCGGTTGTTACTATTCATCCTCAGTGGGGGAGCTGGGGGTTTTTCTTCATTATCCAGACCGTCAGACATTTTCAGTTACAACAGATTTCACAGCTCCTAAAGAAAAACAGGAGAAAACAGGAGTTAAGGAAGAAGAAATCTAAAAAAAAATAAAATCTTGGACATATGGGGCTTCTAGCAGTAGAAACAAAAGCATTGGTCTCAGGTTGTCTCCAGTTTTGTGTTAATAATTTTGAGGTGTTGCCTTCCTGGAGGGAAGGGAGTTGCCTCCCAAAGACCAATGATGCAATTTCCCAAACAGTAAAGTGAAGAGAAAAATGCACGGCTTTTTGATATGTATTCACAAACACATAAAACCCAAAAAAAAACCAAACCCATTGCCGTGGAGTCGATTCCAACTCATAGCGACCCTATAGGGCATAAGAACACTTGCTTTTCCCACAATGAAATTCTCTATTCTCTGCTGTCCATTCAGTCTTGTCACGAACAATTTACATACTTATTTCTTTAAAAATGCTATCCTGATAGTCATCTTTGTCAGGTAAACAACCTTAGTCTGAAATTGATACAGATTTGGCTGCCGATTGTTAATGGACCACAACAATGCCTTGTTAGTCACTTTAACATTGGGATGCCTTTGCGTCTGTTTCTTATGTGTGTCTGTCTGATTTACAGAATGCACCCTACTGTTTTATGGGAATGCACTGAGAAACAATCCAGTGAATCTGGCAGTTTTGGAAGAGTCAGAGAGTATTAACCAAAATGATGCCCCATCTTCTCCCATGCAGGGAGAAGATAAAGGTGGGCCAAATATCATCATGAGCACAGAGGAGCTTCAGAGGAGAAGTTCACTTCCTGAGGAGACACCAAAACCTTGTTCCCTGTCATATTTTATATCCTGGAAGAGGGAGCAACAAGAGAGTTGACAGGGATAGCAGGGTTATAGCAACTTATTTGCTCTTGATTTCATTATTCTTTAGCATCTTGTGCCTAGGGCTGAGTATATTCGAGTTTCATCTCACTCAGAGGGTAAAGTGAATTGGAAAAGCATGGACTCCCCAAGGCAATGCTCCTGTTTCCAGGTGTTCTCCTACTCTAACACAAGTTCTTCCATTAGGGCCCTGACACTTGCCAATGCAAGTCATGTGCTGGAAGTATCTTCCCAGTGAACTCCTAGTTTGAATACAAGGAAAATCAAATCCCATTGCAACAAAATCTCTGTAAACTTACTATGGAAAAAAACCCATTGCCGACAAGTCAATTCTGACTTACAGTGACCCTACAGTACAGAGTAGAACTACCCCATAGGGTTTCCGAGGAGCAGCTGATGGATTCGAACTGCTGACCTTCTGGTTAGCAACCAAGCTCTTACTATTACCTGGCATTAATATAGCAGCATAAGAACTCTCCAAACTCTCCAAAAACTATCACTTTATTCCGACATTTACTATAACAAACCTAAGTACAACAAAAACAAAAATAGAGGTCTCTTCATTAAACTGCTGGAGCCCGGTGGCGCAGTGGTTAAGAGCTGGTCCAACTCGACCACAATGGGTTTTTTGTTTGTTTGTTTGTTTTCATTAACTACTATAATGAGAAATAATCTATCATAATTTTTTTTAGCCCTTTAGGGGTTGTAATGTGTTCATTCTTTTCAATATTGAACTCTAAGTTACATCATGTTATGTTGAAAACTTTTTTTAAATTGCTATATTCTAAATTCTGTCAAACATATTCAGCTTTTAAGTACTCAAGAATATTAAAAAAAAAAAAAAACCCGTTGCCGTCGAATCGATTCCGACTCACGGGGACCCTATAGGACAGAGTAGAACTGCCTCATAGGGTTTCCAAGGAGCAGCTGGTGGAGTTGAACTGCCAACTTTTTGGTTAGCAGCCGTAGTAGCTCTTTAATCACTGCGCCACCAGGCTCTTAATATCTTCTTCATCTGCACATGTGACTGCTAACTATCTTGATTTGGACAAGAGATTTCTTTCCTTTGTCTTTGCCTAAGTTTCATGCGATGCGTTATCTTAACGAATTAAGACCAAATTTTGTATCTGTTCAGTAATCACGCTAGTGAAACTACTCAGTAATGTCTTGTTGCCAGTGACAACAATTTGATAAGCCTCACATTTTCCTATATAGATGAAACTACAGCACAAAATAAAATGAAAAGGTAACTGCCATGTCAAAGATAAAGTATAGTCATAGATACTACCGGTACTAGTAAATATTTTAACTAGAATATGAAACCTGTGCTAATGGGTCTACATTCTCCTTTGCATTTTGATTGTTGGTCCTTCTAAGTTCACTCTTTCTCCAGAAGAGAAGTGAGTTTAAAGGACTGATTTCACCAGTGGCATTATTCTGTACTTGGCAGGTTCATGGTTTAAATTTAGTCGCTGAGAAGAATTTTGCACCAGAAACAAGGCATTATGTTTTTTTGTTTTGTTTTGTTTTTTATTGTGCTTTAGGTGAAAGTTTACAGCTCAAGTTAGTTTCTCATACAAAAATTTATACACACATTGTTACGTGACCCTAGTTACTATCCCTACAACATGACAGCACACTCCTCCTTTCCACCCAGGGTTTCCCGTGTCCATTCAACCAGCTCCTGTCCCTTTTTGTCTTCTCATCTCGTCTCTGGACAGAAGCCGCCCATTTTGTCTCGTGTATCTACTAGAAACAAGGCACTATGTTTTTTGCCTTTTGTTTTTATTTTTTTTCCTCTTCACTTTTCTGGGTTCAAAAATACTGGCTGGATATGAGATTATCATCATGTAGGTCTCAGCAATACAGAATCTAGCTTGGTAAAAATAATAATATTTTAAAGTTATTGCAAGGAACTGAACATTTGGAAAGAAATACCTAGAAGACAGGTTTTTAAAAAGTGTGTTTCACAAGGGAAGAAATCCACCACTTTATAGGTGATAGATATTTTCTAATTACATACTACTTAAATTTCGATGACAGATGTCAGAGAAATAAGCATAGCCTCTTTAAAATGATAAACAAAGTTGATCTTGCATAAGGCTAGTAAAAATCTGGACCAGTTGAAGTTTCTAGTGCACCTACATAATTAAAAATACCATGATCCTTTGTTCTTGATAAATAGGAGCCCTGGTGGTGTAGTATTTAAGAGTTTGGTTGCTAACCAGAAGGTCAGCAGTTCAAATCCACCAGCTGCTCCTTGGAAACCCTGTGGGGCAGTTCTACTCTGTCCTATAGGGTCGCTGTGAGTCGAAATCAACTCAATGGCATCGGGTTTAGTTTTGGTTTTTAACATCAGAGTAGGGAGCCCTGGTGGCGCAGTGGTTAAATTGCTCAGCAGCAAACAGAAGGATCGGTGGTTCAAACCCACCAGCTGCTCCATGGGACAAAGATGTGGCAGTCTGCTTCTGTAAAGATTACAGCCTTGGAAACCCTATGGGGCAGTTCTATCCTGTCCTATAGGGTTGCTATGAGTCGGAATCAACTAGATGGCAATAGGTTTCAAACATTAGAGTGGTCTTTTTTGTTGCTAATTCCTTTCTCTGACCAGAGTCTAGAATGTCCTTGCTTCTATTCAGGCTGCCTGATTTGACCAGGTATTTTTTAGGTTGGGAAGAAAGGACTACTTGGGATATGAAACTCAAACCGTAATCTCCTATACTGCACTAGAAATTGCTGATCAAAATTTCAACAACACACAATTGCGGCGGTCTCTTTTGCAGACATTCGGCAAAGGATCCAGCTTATATGGCACAGCCTTCTACTGGCCACCAAACTGAAATTGTTTCAGTTCCATTCAGCTCATCAGGGGATACCAAGAGCAGTTTGAATAAACCTTTTACAGAAATGGAAATGAAATTGAAGAATCAATGTCTAGTTCCACACCAGGACCATGAAGCAGAGAAAGCACGTATCTGGGATATTTGGCCTGAACCAAACAGTCACGTCATTTACCTAGACATTTCAGATTTGGTTTTGTTTAAAAGATCCTGATATTACTTCAGTTCTTCACTACCCTTTAAAGGGCACAATTAATTACTCTTCATCATCTTCTAATGATTCCATATAATTCTCATTTAGTTACAAAAGAATAGTGTAGGAGGTGTTGTTATCTTTAACCTATCTTCAAAACAAACCAAAAACATTGGCATATTCCAAGGAAAGTTAAGTCACACTTTGAGAAGACCAGTGGAGAAAGGGCAGAAACCTACAAAGAAGCCTTGCTGTTAATGTATTCGTTTCCCAAGTGGGAGGTGTTTCCTACATTTGTTCAAATGAAGGAAAAAGGAGACTCTATTATGTTATGTTTGTAAACAGTGCCAATTTACTAAGCTAGGTCCTCCTCTGAGACAGCTTTCTACAAAGGATACTATTAATGGACCGCTCATTCTATCTGCCTATGATGTCATTATTTCCAAGAACTTGAAATAGACTCTTTTGTTTGGGGCGGCTGTAGGTTCTATTTCAAGAATTGTACAAAAGCACCATCATTCTCTAGGAACCGACTTTTTTCTTTTTTTAAAGTGTTTATCTTTACAGTTTAACTGTTCTCGTTCACTTCTGCAACAGGATGGAAACTTGCAAGTGAGTGGCACATTGGATGGATCTAGCCACAGGTCATTGATTTCACTTTTAGAGATTGGCCCTTAGCATTGTGGAGACCTAGCCAACTTTAATGGACAAACATAAACAGTTTATATCTGTCCACAAATTGGTTTCACACTTGGCCACTAGGTTTTTCAGCCAGAATTCAAATGGTTTCTGTTGATGGTGTATATTTTTGTTCCAGCCTTTCGGACTTACGTGGTCTATCAATGCTCTGTAATGATAATTGACATTCATCAACAATCAGAATAAACCACTTGATTGATTATAACCAAGGAGCCTGAACACACCTTTTTCAGAGTACTAAGAAAGATTATCTCCCTCTCTTTTCCTCCCTCTCTCCCTCCTCCCCCCTCTCTCTCTCTGTCACACACACATACACACACACACGCTCACTCACAGACGCATGCACACACAGCCCTTTACTGTTTTGCCTTTTGACATAAAGCTGTAACACGAAGAATTTTAGAGAAAAACTACAATCAAGAAGCATAGCAAC